TTTGAACGTTTTACGACCGAAATTTACTTGCCTTGCGGTCTAAATCCAACATACGGATATATAATTCCTTTGAAATCATCGGGAAGATGAAACGCAATTCCTTAAAATATGTTATAAATATTACTTACTTTGCTTTGTAAAGTATAAAGTTTAATTTTTAAAGTGTTAATTACCTAGGTTGACTCCATTTTTAGTATAAAATACCTTCTTTAAGACGCTTAAATAGCATCCAATAATGTCACCAATAGTACATGTAATCAACAATTAGTATCGCGGAAATGAACATACAGAATCCATGTGATATCATTGATCATAAAACAAAACGAATGTAACAAATTTAAGTAGACGATTTGCTTACATTACGATTTATTTGAGATCTTTTTGATAAGGAATGATTTATTAATTTGAAATCCAAATTTTTTAGACTTATTAATAATTTACAGATTCAGTGTAATAATTGATTGCGAAAAATATTTTGGAAATTTGGTGTTTGTATTTGATTAACTTTTTTGGAATTTTAAAAAGCGACGTACATAGAAGATTTATGGATAAAATTGATTTTACTGCAACATAATAATTCTTTTAGTTTACTATCTTTTAAAAGTATATTCATATCCAAAAGTAACTTTAATATCTTTTCTAATCTTTTTTCTAATATTTTTCAACATATCTTCAATCTCTTTATATGCGCTTACTTCTTCAGGATCGTTATCTACATAATAATAAGATTCAGCAAATTCATCATATCTAAGATAAGGTTCGTAAGTATAATGAATATTTAAAGAAGTCAAAGTCAAATTCTCGGATAAAGCTTTAGAAATTTCTCTTAAAACATCTTCACGATCAAGCTGACAGATAGTAATATCCAATGATGTTAAGGATGAGTTTGTTCGAAGCGCCAATGTTAATGCTTTTCCTTCATTCTTATAAATATTATGACCACTAATATCTAAAGAGTTAAGAGTTGAATTCTTAACAAGAGACTCCGCTAATGCCTTTATTGCTTCACGACAAGAGTTATTAGAAAGATCTAAAGATTTAAGGCCAATGTTATTACAAAGAGCGCCCGCTAAGGCTTCTACTCCTTCAGTGCGAAGTTCATTATTCCGAAGATTTAAAGAGATAAGTGTAGTGTTTTGATGAAGTGCCTCTGCCAGCTCTTTTCCACCTTCTCTACCAAGGCGATTTCCACAAAAGTTTAGGTCGGTGAGAGTTGCATTTTTACAAAGGACCACTGCAAATGCTTTTCCAATTCTAGCGTCTAGAAAATTATTAGAAAGATTTAAGGATGCAAGAGTTGTATTTTTACAAAGAGCTCCTGCCAACGCCGTTCCACCTTCGAAATCAATTTCGCTATTATTTAACTCTAATGAAGTAATAGTTGTATTTTTGCAAAGAATTTCTGCTAACACTTTTCCTCCTTCATCACCAAGTTTATTAAATTCAAGAATCAAAGAAGTCAATGAGGTGTTTTTACAAAGAGCAGTTGCCAATAGCTTCACTCCTTCGACGCCAAATCGATTACCTCCAAGATTTAAATAGGTCAGAGAGGTGTTTTCACAAAGTGAATCTGCCAATGCTCTTGCACCTTCAACACAAATCTGATTGTTTTTAAGACATAAGGAAATAAGTGTAGTATTTTTGTAAAGAACTTCAGCCAACAATTTTACACTTCCAACACTAAGTAGACTACCACAAATAACCAAGGATGTTAGAGTGGAGTTTTTAAAAAGAACATCAGTTAATGCCTTCACATCTTCATCAGCAAGATGACAATAATCAAAGCTCAAAGTTGAAAGAACAGTATTTTCGTAAAGTGCTTTAGCAAATAATTTTCCACATTCAAGATTCTCTATATACATAAGTCTTAAAGAGTTGAGCGTGGTGTTTTTAGAAAGAGCATCCGCTATTGCTTTTACGTTCTCAGTATCAAGGTCCATATCCATGCAATCAAGACAAATGCTGTCAATAGGTGTATTTCTATAAAGGGATTCTCTTAAAGTCTTTTGGAACATACTATAATCATAACCATTAAAGATTATAAACTTAAGTTTTTCACTTGTTCGTAAAAGCATTGCGATCAATGAATATTTGATTGTTTGAACCGAATAAGAATATATATCGTCGTAATCTGATATATCATGAGGGTCACGACCTTCTTTGTTAATCCAATCTATTATTGAATTCGTAAAATGAGAATCATCATAAGAGACAGTAAAAGTAGAATAATTAAACAATGGTTTCGGTCCATTTGGAAATCTTAATCCAAGTTGGTTTAATGAAATTCGATCTTCAGTATTTAGTAACAAAAGGAATATTCTTATAATTCTTGCATCGCTAAAATCTTTTAGAGGGTTGCTCCATAAAATTGGTACAACGAAACTACACCATTGACGGCTTACTAGAAGACATGAAAATAGAATTTCATAATATTGTAGATAATTAAAAATTTCAAAGAAACAATCGTTTGACAATGGAATCATTTTTGAAAAATGAAAAAATTCAGATTATCACAAGCAATTTTTTTTATTTTAACCAAAAATTATCATCGATAATCAATGAAAAATCAGGGATCAGGTGTAACATAAAAAATTCGCATGATGCTGTCCCTGGGAACAGGAGGAAGCGTTGATATTACTGTCAACACATAAAAAAATTATTTCACAATACTAGATCATTCTGCTAGTGCAAATTACGTACAATAAATGGTGTTGGATTATAATTATAACGTGTACTAGCGGAATGATAAAATAATTTTTTTTATGTGTTGCACACCGGGTGAAGGATCAGTCGTGTAACAACAACGTTTCCTTCTGTTGTCCCTGGGTGGGAAAAAAAATCGATTTATGCCCATTCCTTAAAGAAACCCAGGTGCCGATTTCTCATAACGCTTAGTAATAATGGTTACTTATTATTACCAAATATTCAAATTTTTTACGTATAAAATAATAAGGAACAATACTGTAAATTTAAAAATACGTACGTACGTACGTATTTTATACAATTTTATATTTATTTATTTATATACGTAAGTAGTCTAAACAGTGATGTGAAATTTGCATGATATGCGCATAATCATGCGCATGATTTTTTATATATATTTTTAATGCCGGCAAAGCAGTATAATGCCGGTGTATGAAAGTCTCTAAACAAGACCTAAACGGGACATTCTTCTACGCTGATATTTAATTCTATTTATTTTTATAAGGTAGCTGTGCGACGCTGTCGCACTAAAACCAGGAACGTAGGCTCAACGATCTTTATAATTATACAAGAGTCAATGCA